TTACTGATTGTGTATCAGGTTGTGTGTCCGGTTGTTTTACTGATTGTAGATCTGGTTGTGTGTCCTGTTGTTTTACTGATTGTGTATCCGGTTGTGTGTCCAGTTGTTTTACTTGTTGTGTATCCGGTTGTGTGTCTGGTTGTTTTACTGATTGTGCATCTGGTTGTGTGTCCGGTTGTTTTACTGATTGTGTATCCGGTCTTGTGTCCGGTTGTTTTACTGATTGTCTATCCCGGGGGTGTCAAACTCATTTACAAAGGGGGCCAAAATTAAAACCTTTTTCAAACTAAGGGCCGGTTTCAGAATCTGCATTAACTCAAGTCAGATACCAAATATCTTTTTTTGGTTGCAGGTTCCTCAAAAAGAGTTTGATTGGTTTCATGGTTCTCTGTTGCACTTTCATCCATCCATTATATTTTACCCGCTTCTTCCATTTGGGGTCACGGGGGTCACTCTGTTGCACTTTTTACATCAAAATCAAAGATTACTGAAAAAAATAAAGTGATAAAAGTCTTTTACATTTAAAATAACATCCTGGGGGCCAGATAAGATGTCAGCGAGGGCTAAATTTGGCCCCCGGGCCTTGAGTTTGACACATAGGGTCTATCCAGTTGTTTTATTGATTGTGTATCTGGTCGTGTGTCCGGTTGTTTTAATGATTGTGTATTATGGTATAAAGTTTAGTCATTCTAAAAAAGTACAAAACAATTCCATAACAATATAAAAAGATACAAGAGATTTAAAATGAAAGGCAGCAGAAGAAGAAAAAATCTTATTATATCTGCCCCTTTTTTCAAACAATTATTTCAATCATAATAATTTTCAAGTAACAGAACAAAATGAATAACTCTTTCTAATTTTTCTAATTCTAATACAAAACACACTAAGCTACATCATATATATTTTTTAACAATTCAGCTTTGATCTTTTTCTTAAATGTACACATTGACTTGGCATTTTTCACATCACTCTCTAGAACATTCCACAATCCAACTCCTTGGATTGAGGTAGACCTTCCCTTCAGACTAGTTCTGAATTTTGGTTTGACAAATATTTCTATCCCCTTAAGATTATAACAACTTTGTCTTTTAACAACATTTCTTTGGATATTTAACGGTAATGTGTTATTTTGAGCTCTATACATAACTGATAAAATACTGTAATCTACCAAATCATGGAACTTCAGTAACTTCAGTTGATAAAATAATGTGCTTGATGGGTGACTGTAATGCTTTCTGGTGATAATTCTTACAGCTCTTTTCTGTAAAATAAAAATAGGCTTTGTAAATGTTTTACACGCTTTCCCCTAAACATCAATGCAATAGATTAAATGTGGAACAATGATTGTGTTATACAACATGTACAGAGCTTTATCATTTAATAATTAGGTATTTGGTTGTGTGTCCAGTTGTTGTCCCAGTTGTGGACAGAACTCACCTTCCAGGCTGAGAGATTTCAGCTCGGGGATGCTCAGAGGAGGAAAGTGTGTGAGTTTGATGTTCTCACACGTCACAGTAACATCAGAGATGCTACAACCTGGAGGAAGACCTCCTCTGCTCCTTGTCACCATCTCCTCCTCTTCTTCCTCCTCCTCTTCTTCTTCTATTGCAGCAGGAGGTGTTGGGATCGGAGCTGGAAGGAGGTCACGTTCTTTGGGGATCATCTGAAACACATCTCCTCTCAGCCACACCTCCTCCTCCTCCTCCTTTTCCTCCCTCTGTCGCTCCTCTTCCTCCAGGAGTTTCTCTCTCTCTAAAGTCTCCTGCCTCCTTCTTTCCTCCTCTAATTTAATTTCCTTGTCTCTTTCTCTCTGCCTCCGCTCTTCTTCCTCTTGCATCCTCTTTTCTTCTTCCTGCCGTCTCCTCTCCTCTGCCTCCTCTATCTGCCTCCTCCACTCTTCTTCCTCTTTCTCCACCTGCAGCCTCAGTGCCTCCTCTTCCTCCCTCCTCCTTTCTTCCACCAGCTTCCTCTGTTTCTCCTCCCGCTCCTTCCTTTCCTTCCTTCTCTTCTTCCTAGCCTCGTCCTTCTTCCTCAGGCGCTCCTCCTCCTCTCGGTGCTCCTCCTCCTCCCTCCAGAGGATACTCTGGATCTCCTCCTGGGTCAGCGGGATGACTGCCTTGTTGGGGTCACTGGGAACTGGGGAGTCACCAGAAAGGTCGAGGCTGAGCTCCGAGTCTGGGATGGTTTGGCGCCACGGGGCAGCCAATCAGAGAGCAGGAGGTGTCGGCGGTGGGGAAAGAGGAGGACAAAAAGGAGGAAGAGAAAGAAAAACAGACGGAGAGGAGAAGTGTAGAAGAAGAGCAGAGAATAGAACGTAAACTACAGAAGATGGAAGGTCTTAGGACAGACAGGTTGACAGACAGGTTTGTGTTAGTGCTGCAGACAGACAGATTGAAGCTACAGAGGAAACTGCTGAATGCCTGTCTGAACCAGAACCCACAAACCTGTAAGACTACAGTTAGATCACTACTGATGTTGGGCTTTAAGCCCCGCCTACTCCCCCCCACACACACACACAATCACGGAGTCACATGACTTTTCTTTTAACTATGAAATTACTAATTACAGATAAACGCGTTCAAAAAATGAATATTTGAATAAGTCACACCTGAAAACAATCAGTATTTATGTATCTTCCAAGAACAATGTCTCGATTGTGTACTAGTAGGAAGCAGGCCTTAAAACGTGTACTACGCTTAAACCAAGGGGGGGTCCCATTCTGGCTTCAACTTCCATGTTCCTGTTAGATGTCTAGTTTTCTATAAATAATATAAGATAATCAGACCTGTTGTTTCTCTGTGTTTAGACGCGTTATTAACGTGGACGTTCTCTCCACTCGAGTCTCAACATGCGCATTTTAGCAGTTTTATTCAAATGTGTGGACAGAAAAACATGCATTAAAGAAATTAAGCTCTGTTTTAAAAAGTATCTGTTTTAGTGTAGATGGGAAGCTGTTTTTGTCTGTTCAGGTGTAAGTCCAACATTTAGGGGGTGAGTAAACAGAAACTAGTTGCAAACATGTTTGTACGGACATGTTTTAAACGTTCACAACATGTGCGGCGGCTGATCCAAAATGTGCTGAACACATTTTATGACGTCACGATGGAAAGGGGCAGCAGCATGCTGAGGCTCGGAGATGACAGCTGGAACGAGCTGAACAGAAACGTGTTAACGTCCGAATTATTTAAACTCTCAATCGTATTTGTCCGGTTCGGTGTTGGATGAAAGCAGATTCTCAGAACCGGTTCTCATCTCCGTTTCCTCAGGATGTTGCACCATCACGCTCTCACATGTTGCGTTTCTACCTGGGTCCATGCAGACGGGGCAGCACGCCCCCGCGGGGGTGACGGGGGACGGGCAGTGCATTGTGGGACAGGAGATCTCATCGCACACCACCCGTCCCTCAGCGCACAAACACGTCACGCAGGGCGACGGGGACCAGACGGCCAGGTCGAACATGGTCAGACCCCGGTACACGCAGCGGTCCGGCTTACCTGCAGCAGCACACACACGAGTCCGATCAACACTTTGATGTTAAATCACTGCCGACATCACCAGTTATTTAAATCAACAATCGTTTCAGCGTGGACAGTTTGTACGTCTGGTTAAACAGAGCGGCGGGTCAGGTTTCCCTCAGCAGCAGCTGGACCTCCTCAGTAACCGTGATGGAGTCTTCAGTCTGTATTTTAGCACCAGCAGCAGCCGGAGCTGCGTTTGTTTTGAAGTTCAGAGCCGGACCCTGACGAGGCTGTGAGTCAGAAGGAAGGGGTGTAAAACACAGAGCAGGAAGAGGCTCTGTGTGTCTGCTTTGACCGAGTCCCGTCTCTCATCTGTGCTTTCTAATGCTATGCTCTATAGGAGGACAGGTAGTTAAAGGGGCTCAGCTAGTTTCTCCTAAACACCTCCTCTCTATTATCCGTCCTGTTTATTGTGAGCAGACTGTCATCTCTGCTGGAGCACGTACTTTAGAGCTTTTCTTTTCTCTTTAAAAATATCATCTCACTGTCACACAGGCTCTTTAATTACAGGCCTGGGGGTAAATAACACAGTAACCATCTGATTCTCAGGGACCATTATTCAGTTCAGCTCAGGGCATTTTTTCATTTACTGTCTTTAAATCAAATAATGGACGACCATCAGAACAGATGGCACATCAGTCACAAACATTCAGGCTTCTGGATTTCCCCTGGTTTTATATCACGATCACCTGAAAATAGTGACGATTAGCTTTGTTTGAAAAGAAAAGCAGCGTTAAAGGTTGATGCCCAGAAATGTTCCAGAGTGTCCGTAGAGTGAACGTTGAGTCAGCGTTATAGTTTCTACTGTGTGGTGTTTACAGTCGAACTCCTGCGTATTGTGTGCCGCTTTAGTTGTTTATGTATCAAAACATTCGGCTCATTCGGCAAACGGGTGCTGTGACTTTTGTTTCTTGTAACTTTTATACATTTTTGAAATGCCTAACTTTATTTTAAATAAAAATCATCAGAAATGTACAAAGATATCTTCAGGTGCTTTAGAAACATTCTTGTGCTGCTTTTAGCTACCATTTTGTTTATTTTAAGCACAGTTTTGATACTTTTAGTTGTTGTTTTACTTATTTTAGCTTTGGTTATGGTTATGTTACCTTTAGCTACTGTTGTTCTACTTTTAGTTGAAATGATTGTTTGTCATTTTGCTTGTTGTATCTTTAACTGTTCGGTTTTAGCTTCTTCAGCAGGCCTCAGCTGTCATTCAGCGCCCATCGTTAGTTTTTCCTGTGGCTCTAACATAAAAAGTTTGTCAGAGTGAATCTGGGGAGTTTGAGGTGTTAAAGGGGAGAAAGTTTCCTCGAGGGATTTTGTGCTGCAGGAGGACTACCTGGTCCCTGTAGAACCAAAACTAGAGCTGTGACTGGAGTCTTGTTTCATGAGTGTTGGGTGGAGCAGGAGATGGACCAACGATGGATCAGGACCCTGCAGTAATGAGGACGTTGCACCGGTTTGCCATGGTGTAGAAGGAGCTGATTTACTGTTCCATCTATGTTCCAGCCCTCACATGTGGTCATGAGGTTTGGATCAGAACCGAAAAAACAGATCCTGGATCCAAGCAGCTGAAATTGGCTCCATCGTCCAGGGGCAGCTCAGAGTATAGCTGCTGGTCCTCATAGAAAGGAGTCAGCTGAGAAGGTTCAAACTTCTGATAAGGGTGCCTCCTGGAGATCTCCATTAGAAGGAGGAGATCCTGGGTCAGATCCAGAACTCTCTGGAGGGGTTCTACATCCTCTCTGGTCTGTGACCATCTTGAGATCCTCCAGGTGGTGCCGCAGACTGTCTCTGGGGAGATGGAGGTCTGGGTTTCGCTTCTGGACCTGTGGCCTTGATGACCCAACAAAATGGCAGAGCTGAAGATCAGTCATGTAATCAGTGCGTTGGTCGGTGTATTAAATACCATTTAGAAGTTGAACAGAAGTGGGACTAAAACACAACCTTGTGGCACTCCATCACTGGACTGCCGTTCAGACTTCCTTTCAGAGTTTAGATGTGTGACTGATCACTGGTCTTTAAAATGAGTCTGAAACCAGCCTGTCTCTGCGGAGGACCCTCCTTCTTCTGCAGAGGAACCGAGGCGTTCTTCAGACTTGAATCCTGACAGACTGAACCTGTGAGAAGCCTCACAGTAAAAGTCAAAAAGCTCTGACACAGACAAAGCTGCTCTCACTGAAGTCCGGTTTGTTTGAGATCAGAAACAAATCCCTGCAGCTGCTCTAACGACACGTCCTTGTCTTCACAAAACGTTGACTTCTCTGTGCCGAACTGAAGGGTTCCCTCGTCTTTAAAGCCCCAGATTCAGAGCCAGCAGAGGTTTTCTCCCCCCTCCTTGTTTGGAATGTGATGATTTGTCATCAAATGACTGAGCTGTAAGTAACAAGCCTCTGAGCTTAAACCAGTTTGTTTTTGTTCTCCGAGCAGTCCGACTTCACTGTGTGAGGGTTTTAACGAGCTCTAAGTGTTTAAAGCTTTAATTGCAGATACGTTTGAAGTGGGTTGAAAACAAACGAGTTGAGCTGTTATGATGCCGCCTCCTAAAGCAACCCTCAAACCTTCATTTACGCAACAGTTTACTGCTCATGCAGCTGCAAAGCATGCTGGGACGTTTTTATTGTGGACGCTAACGCAGCATTTATTCTGGAGTTTTCCTGTTTTTATTCTTCTGGACAGATGGACGGATTGTGCTGTTTTAGCTGTTCATACATCAAAACATTCGGCTCATTCTAGAGATGGGAGCTGTGACTTTTGTAACTTTTAGAAACAAATTTATTTACAAATGTTTGTTCTATAGAAATAAATGCAGACCTCTAATTTCTTCAGAAACATTGTTTGCTAAAATCTGTCTTTTTCTGCTACTTTTAGCTTTTATCATTTTGGTACATTTAACTTTTATCTAACATTTTGTTACATGGGGCGACTGTGGCTGAGTGGTTAGAGCAGTCGGAGAGTTGGGGGTTCGATTCCCCCAGCAGTCAAATGCTGAATTGTCCCTGGGCAAGACACTGAACCCCTCAATGTCTCTGGTGTGTGTCCCATCAGTGTATGAATGTGATAAAGCTCTGATTATTCTTTGTAGAGATCTAGTATAGAGCTGTATGAACGAGTAAATGAGACACAGGTTGTTGTAAAGAGCTTTGAGTATCTTTATAAGATAGAACGTTGTTATATAAGTACAGTCCATTTACATTTAGCTTTTATCTAACATTTTGTTACATTTAGCTTACAGCTAACGTTTTGGTACATTTAGCTTACAGCTAGTGTTTTGGTACATTTAGCTTTTATCTAACATTTTGGTACATTTAGCTTACAGCTAACGTTTTGGTACATTTAGCTTACAGCTAGTGTTTTGGTACATTTAGCTTACAGCTAACATTTTGGTACATTTAGCTTACAGCTA